GTGTCTCTTTGCGGTCATGTGTCTCTTTGTGGTCATGTTGTGTCTCTTTGTGGTCATGTTGTGTCTCTTTGTGGTCGCTTGGTGTCTCTTTGTGGTCGCTTTGTGTCTCTTTGTGGTAATGTTGTGTCTCTTTGCGGTCATGTGTCTCTTTGTGGTCATGTTGTGTCTCTTTGTGGTCATTCTGTGTCTCTTTGTGGTAATGTTGTGTTGTGTTCATGGACTGGTAACGTAAAAACTGGGCGCAGCATCAGAACAACAGTTCAGGCTAAACAGGACTGTTACACCTTTGTTAATGTTCGTGTTTGATTTCATGTCATAGAGTTATTGTGATGTGTTTTGTAGTCAGGTCATTGGTAGTTAGCTTTGTCAAAGCTAATGTTAGTTAGCTAATGCTTCACATAGCAACTTAACATCCTTTTACTATGCCGGCAACTCCATACATCGTAGATAACACACGTCCCTATGTAATGTGGCTTTAAACATAACTACACCCAGAGTGAGAACTCAAACTTCCTGACTGACGTCACATGGACGAAAGTTTATGACACCGCCTTTTGGTTCTGTGTAAAAATACAAAGGCGGCAAAAAGACGTGAAGTCGTAGAGGCTCTATAGCGCCATCTCTGTCTCTGCACTACTTCTCCCCCAGATGCTCATTTCAAATTAAACTTTATTGGCACAACAGTCTGACCTGTTGGACTGTTCTCTGCATCAGCTGACGAACTTCTTCCTGCGTCATCGTCCGACCCATCGAGAACAGGACCGCGTCCAGAACGCCGTCCTCGAACCGCCGCGGTGCCGACATCAGACTGCAAGAAACACAGATGATAGAGAGTGATAATCTGAGACAGCAGCATGGACATTTTAATTTAATTCATGACTGGTTTAATTTCTGGAAATAACTCCTGTTAGCATAAAATTAAACTTCACTGACCTCCGGCTGCTCCACGTTAACAATTTAATGTATTGTTTTCACTTAAACAAAATGAACATTTTCCTCTTTTTGTAATGAAACAAACCTGACAAGAAGACAAGCCGGCTGACGAGAGGTAAAATAATCCGTCAGATTTACACATCATGTTTGTTCAACTCAATAAAGTTTGATTTTCACTCATTTCCTTGGTTATTTTCCCCAAAATATTAATAATAATGAAAATAAAACGCAGTCTTCCTGCTTCATAAAGAGCGCATCAGTTTGTTTGTTTCCTTTGGCTGAGATCCCTCGCTGGCTTCTCACCCTCTAACATGCTAACTGTGTTTTCAGACTCTTCATATGTGAATATATTTTGTCTGTCTGGTAATGTCTTTGTTGACTGAGTTACAAATTATTTCAATGACTGTGTTTGTTATTCAGTTCAATCAGTTTGTATTTTATTATTTTGTACACACTAACAGACGACTGTCGTTAACTTGTCCACATATACAGTTTGGGTTTCAAAAACGGGGACCGGAGGGTGTGCTCCTGTTATCGAGGATGTGGATCCCGTCCTGGTGGTGGACCAGTGGAGCAGCTCTTTACCCTCGCAGGGCTGCTGGAGGGGTCGTGGGAGTTTGTCCATCAAGTCTACATGTGCTCTGCGGACTTGGAGAAGGCTTATGGCCGCGTTCCTCAGGGAGTCTTTTGGGGGGTACCGTGAGAATTGGAGGTACCGGGGTCGTTGACACGAGCCATCCAGTCCCAGTATGACCAAAGTGACAGCTGTGTCCGAATACTCAGGGAAAAGTCAAACACATTCTCAGTGGGTGTTGGCCTCTGCCAAGGTTGTCCCTTTTCTCTGATTCTGTTTGTGATCTTCATGGACAGGATCTCGAGGTGCAGCTGGGGGGAGGAAGGGGTCCAGTTTGGGGACCTCAGAATTGAGTCTCTGCTTTTTGCAGATGATGTGGTTCTGTTGGCTTCATCACACCGTGACCTCCAGCATGACCTGGGGCAGTTTGAGTGTGACGCAGTCAGGATGCGAGTCAGTACCTCCAAATCTGAGGTCATGGTTCTCTTCTGGAAAATGGTGGATTGTTTCCCCCGGGGTTGAGAGAGTTACTGCCTCAAGAGAAGGAGGTCAAGTATCACTGGGTCTTGTTCACAGTGAGGGTAGAATGGAGCGTGAGATAGTTCGGCAGTTTGGTGCGGCGTCTGCAGTGATGATGGCACTGGGCCAGACTGTCGTGGTTCAGAGGGAGCTGAGCCAGTAGGGTGAAGCTTTCGATTTCCTGGTCCATCTGCGTCCCAACCCTCACCTATGGTCATGAGCTCTGGGTAGTGACTGAAAGAATGAGGTCACAGATACAAGCGTCTGAAATGAGTTTCCTCTGTAGGGTGTCTGGGCTCAGCCTTAGAGATAGGGGGAGGAGTCAGACATCTGGAGGGAGCTCGGAGTAGAGCCGCTGCTCCTTCATGTTGAGGTGGTTCAACATCTGATCTGGATCCTCCTGGTCCAGCTGTTAGGAGGCCCCGGGGCAGACCCAGAACACACTGGAGGCCCTCAGGGTCCTCCAGGAGGAGCTGGAGAGTGTTGCTGAGGAGAGGGATGTCTGGAGGACTTCACTCAGCCTGCTGCCGCTGAGACCCGCCTCAGATAAGAGAATGAAAATGGATGAATTTATTTGAGTTTAAATTTTGATACTTTATGAATCTTGAATATACTGATAATCCTAATTATTACAAAATAAGTCCAAATGCAACGAGCAGAGTTGTAATATCTTTATTTTCTGTTTGTAAAAAATTAAACATTTGACATTCTGTGTTTCGGAGGAGTTACAGAGCAGTGGCTGTTTTCATGAGAGAGAACAGAGGACACTTCCTGTTACAGTTCAGTCTGTTTCTTACAGTAAATTAAACAACGTTAAATACATTAAGACAGTTCCCGAACTTCTGCCAGCTGCAGCTTAGCACAATGAAATCTGTACGTTTACAACAAGTCAAGAATTATTCTCTTTTTTAGTCAGCAGAGCAGCATGAAGCGTTTCTGTGTCAACTGCAGAACACGAGCATCCTGGATTTGTGAATCCAACAGCTCAGACCAAAGATTCACAACGAGATGAAACTGTTTTAGGACGTGTCAGAGAAAAGTATCAACAGTCTGAACTGGACTGGTGGACGGTCCATCAACCACCGACTTTCACCCAGGAGGCCAATGTTCACTTCCTGTTAGATTGTAAAGCCAAACCCTGTTCTTTTTTCCTAAACCCAACCACATGTGTGTGTCAGCTAAACGTAACCACATGCGCGTGCTGGCTAAACGTAACCACGTGTGTGTCGGCTAAACGTAACCACGTGTGTGTGTCGGCTAAACGTAACCGCGTGTGTGTGTCGGCTAAACGTAACCACGTGTGTGTGTCGGCTAAACGTAACCACGTGTGTGTGTCGGCTAAA